TCTTGGGGCATCTACGACCAGCTTGCAATTAAGTTCCTTGGAAATGACTAGGATATCCAACTATACGATTGTATCTGCTAAAGTGACTCGGGTTTCCTAACTATGTCCAGAGCATCAAACAAGGCTGGTTTTATTTCATCCTAGTTGTTGTTGTTTCTAACTATTCTAAGTTAATTTAATGTTCTCACTTTTAGTTTTATTTCATGGCATTCGGGTATGGTTGGGACCAATGAGTTTGATCTAGAAAACATTGGATTATTTATCCAATATTGCATGCTGATACCGATATTGACCCTTCAGTATTGATATTGAACCTTGGGTATTAATACCCACCTTTAGGTATCGATGCCGACTGACTAATGTAGGTTGATTTGGGACGGGTAATATCGATACTCTTTGATGGGTATCGATACTCTGGTGTTGTGGTTTCGAGATTGGGTCTAGGTATCAATACCAAAATTTGGTTCGACATTTGGGAAAATAGCTTAGTATCGATACTTTTATAGGCAGTATCGATACTCTACCATAGGTATCGATAATCCCATGAGTATCGATACCAAAATGGTCTACTGGAATCGAATTTTTGTTCTCGGTATTGATACCACCCCATGGGTATCGAGACTAACCTTGTAGTATCGATACTCCTTGAATGGGTATCAATACTCCCTATTGAAATTACCCTTTGTTTTAAGAGCAGTATCAGTATTGTTCTTCCATTACTGATACTCTCGCTAAAAAATGCCCTTTTGGGCACGAAAATGCAATCTTTCCATTCTAAAAAGCCTTATTGAGGTTCTCAACTATTTTTAAAGTTTTATGTATGATTAAAGGGGCCATAAAAGGATTATAAACATGTTGAAAACACTGATTTTCGATTTCTACCATGAAAATGCTACTTAACTCATGGAATATGAATATATATATATATATATATATATCTTATATGGTTAGAGGAAGTTGAAAAAATTGGAATCAATCTGTACTGTAACACTATAAATAATTAAAATTCGAGTCAATCGGTATCGGTACTCATGGGAGTATCGGGATATCTTAATGTGAAACAAAGACTGAAAGAATCACAAGCCAATCGGTCTCTCCTTACACCCAAAAGGTTAAATTTATATTTCTCCTTAAGTCTCGAATCATTCAAATGGATTGAATTTGGGTAGTAATGCGTCTACACAATGTCTTTCAACTATGTGATTATGATCGAACATGATCTTAGTGTCCTTGATTATTTATCAGATTTCATTTGTTGCTTGTAGGGAAACCTGGGTGAATACGACCTTCCCTTTTCAGTAAGAGAATGGATCAATATATTCTTGGTTAGATTTGTACCTACAAAAAATCTAAGGTTTTCAAGATGAATCTTTGGCATTCAAGTTAAATCCTTAAGTATTACAAGTAGTGCCCTTTTCATTCATTTTTTAAGTTATTGTCATTTTACCTATATTTCTCTTTTGTTTTAGGTTACAGACACGCCATAAGAAAGTGGCAAGAAAATCAAATCTTATGCTCGATATCGATACCCAATAGTGACAAAACTCAGAACAATTTCAAACTTAAAGAAACTGAGGATGATTTTACTGATTCTCATATTATTGTAATGTTGGGTGAGAATAGGACAAGAAAGACCAGATTTATTCTTTTATTGGTACTTTGCTCCGTTTCTTTTGTTGTCATTCATTATAGATTTGCATGTCTCTTGCATAGGTCGATTGACATTATTCAATAAACTTGTAAGCTAGTCAATTGAAACTCGATAATGTAGATTATAAGATCGATATACCCGAGTTTAACGTTTCTTATAAGCCCCAAAAAATCAATTCCAAATATGAATCTACAATCATGAACAATTACATCTAAAGATATGAATCGTGCATGTATCCTCAGTTTGTTTTAGATGTGATGAAGCCTTTTCTCATCGAACAATTGATGGATCGGAAAGTAGTAAATCTATCCGACAGAGAGTTAAAAACGGTTGCATTATATTTATCCCTTGGAGAGATAACTTTTCTAAATTATCGAATAGTTAAGGATTTTATATGCATGTCTGATGCCATTTTTGTCTATGCTTCATTGCAACCAAAAGATATTTATCTGATAGATGAATCGAGTCCTTATCTCGATTCCCAGCAGCAAATAGCTGCAACTAAATTCATAAAGAGGTTCATTCTCCATGCAAAGAAACTACATTTTTGGTTGATCATAATTTTATAAAGGCGACTTACCTTGCAGATCAAGTAATAGTGTATAATGGGAAGCTTTCATTATAGTTATTGAATTTAAACAATAAATTCTATGCATCGAGAATATTTTTTTACTAGAGTTAAATTTTATTAAAATATCCTTACGTAATGTGTTTTTTTACTAGATTTGGTGACAAGCGTCGTAATTATCAAATAAATATTTTTTTCTCAATTGAAATGAATTATAACATATTATAGTGAAGAAATGATCGATTCGCAGGAACTTAAAAATCTCCAATGTCATATTGTGTTGATCCTAATCTAAGAAAATTGTAATTAGAAAGAAAATGAGGTTTGGTAATATAAAAATTAAATAAAATGGGCTAAGTAAAAATGACAAATAATGAAAGTAAATAATTAATAACAATAATGATAAAAAATAGCCTCAAGTTTCGCTTTGCCTCAATTCATTTTGTCGAAACGATTTTTTCTTGAGATTTTAAAAAATCACATTTTTGTATTATCTCTTTTGACTAATTTTTAATTAAAAAGTAATGTGATTTAAAAAAATCTCACTTCGAAAATTTGGGATTCCCTTTAATAAAATTAAAAAAAAAATGTATGGTTCGAGGAGTCGCCACCAATCATTGATTAGGGTGTGATTGGGCACCCAAAAATGTATTTTGTCATTTTAATAAAAATATTAATTTTAATTAAAACAACAAATTTGAGGTATGCGTTACCAAAATTCGAGTTCAGGAGTCGGTTACGTGTGGGAAAGGATTAGCACCCCACAGTGCCCTAAATTGATACCTAGTCAATTAATTAATTGTCTTTGCAATAAAATTTACGAGTTCTAATTTAATTTAATTTAAGATCCCTTCAAACAACATTCGTGAATGTTAGAACAAAACCTAGTAATATTTAATTATTTCCTATCGAGAAGAAACAACATCTCGTACCTTGAGACAATCAATTTCTACTACAATCGAAATAAAGAAATATTATGGTTTCATTGCAATATTCAAATGCACGAAATTAAATAAATTAAATTAAAACTTACCAATCATTTTAGAAAGAAGAAAAAATATTCGATTATTTAAAGATGTCGAGATCGGAACTTAGATAAGTTCTAACGATCTTTTCTCGAAGAATTTAAATAAACAAACATTTCTTGTTCTCTCGTTCCCAATTTTATGTGTGGTCAAGTTTTATGGTTTCACTTGATAGGAAACATTTATATTTTAAGCAATTGGAAGTGACCTCTAATTCATTAAGACAATCACTTACAATGAACTAAAAATAAAAAAAAAAATATTACCTTTAATCACATTATTTAATCCGAATCCAAGTAATGCCTATGAGTATATCATACTTATGAAAATGTCATCATATGAAAATCCTATATGCAAATAAATGTACATCAAAAAAATCGTATGAAAACGTGTATTAGGTTATTTAATGAAAAACTACAAAATACATACATACTACGATTGTTTAAAAGCAAAGGCTTTATTTGATGAAAACCAAAATGCCTTGAACAAATATAAGCATGCACTTACAATTAATAATATAATATAGAGTAAAAAAATAAATATACACATATATTAAGTCACTTAACCAAGGACTACATGATACATTAAAAGCATATACATTATTTATATATCACGTTTCTAACACACGTACACAAATATAAAATATGACATATATACCATACCAAATTACGTGCATCATACGACATATATAAGTATATATAGGGATGGACATGGGACCCGAACCCAACGGATTCCGACCGGATCCGACCCTATCGGATTGGATTTTTTTTAAAAAAAATCGGGTTCGGGTCGGGTTAGTTATTTTTAAATGTGATGTTTAGGTCGGGTCGGGTTCGAGTTTAGGGGTAAAAATACCCGACCCGACCCGAAAAAATATATAATTGTACCTTATATATTTAGGAATAATTATAATAATACCCCTCTACATATTATTTTTTTCAATTAAGTCACTATTTTTATTGAATAAATTTTTTATTATTATTTCGGATCGGGTTGGGTCGAGTTTTTAAGTTATATATCGGGTCAGGCTCGGGTCGGATGAAAACTTGTTTTGGTTGGGTCGGGTCGGGTCTCGGGTGGAGGACTCCTTGTTCTTGGGTCGGGACGGGTGGATCAAAAACCCGACTCATGCCCATCCCTAAGTATATATTTACAAATTACAAAACACATACACAATAAAAATCTAATATGATGACTTAAATGAGCAAACGACAAACATGGCAGGCCAAAGTATGAAAACTTAAATATAAACGCAAGAACAAAAATGCAACAACCTTAAAATTGCAGGTTCTAATAAACAAAACCAAGATTAAATCATACATACATAAAGGCTAAATAAAATTAGTGCATAAAGTGTAAGGTGCAAATAAATAAATACAGAAAGTTTAGGGGATTAAACTAAGTGAACAGAATATTAAATAAACAATAAAGTTAAGGACTAAATTAAATAAACCAAAACCCCAAGGGTGAAATCTACGAACAATGGAAGCTGTAAATAAAACATGCATTCGGGACTAAATCGAAGTAAACTAAATATTTACAAGCTAAATCAACAAACATTAAAAGGTACCAAATCAAAAGAGGGACTAAAATGGAAATACCAGAAAATTATGAAGGATCACGGAGAGCATTTGCTCCTTTAGCCTTTGAAGTGGACTCCACCGAGATTGCTCTCCAGATTCCAAGTCACTTAAGGAGTATAATATATATATATAACATATTTCATTCCCCAATTTCAAATTGAGATTAACGCAAAACCTCAACAAGTTCTTCGCAGGTTCATCCCGAGCCCAGAAAACGATGGTCTCTATCGTTCCTCAACCACGTCTCCATCGTGGGTTGGCTCTGACGACCACTCGCCGGCGTCGGCCAAGGGGGAGACCACTACCAATCGAAAGGTCTCTTCATCCCGAGCATAGATCCGGACCACGATGGGTCTAAAACACCTCCTAACGCTGCAGATTAAAAAAACTCTTCGGTTTTCAAGATCTCGGCGACCTTCTTATCCTGTGAAAACAAACGAAGGTAAACCTCTCTGTCTTTTTCTTTTCTTTGTTTTTGGTTTCGAAGATCTAAGGGAGAGACTTCCCCCCCAACGCAGGGATTCCGTCAGTCATCAGTGACGGAGGCCTCGCCTGAACGTCATGGATCTCCAACTGGAGGTCCGATCGTCTCAGGTAAATATACTCGATCTCGATTCTTTTCCCTTTTGTTTAAAAAAAACTAGAAAAATAACTAAAATGTTGCTGGAAGTGTTAAAGAAAAGTAAGAAAAAAAATTCTGAAATGTATTTTTTGCTTGTATTTCTTTCAAATGGTGGGAAAACGATTACAATAGTTCATTTTTTTCCGGTTTTTCGAATGGTGGGGATCGGATTTACAGAGTGTTTCCAAAAAAATCCTCTTGTATTGTTTCTATGGGTATTTATCATCCCCAGATTACAACAATTCCCTCTATAAAACGGTTCCTTGTGAGGATACTGCCAAGCACGAGTGAAGGTTGTATGGCCTCTGCAACAAACGGTCTGGCAGCGGGTACCAAATGGGGATCGCTGCTTCGTATGATATTTTTCATTGTGGCATGAGTCGAGACAAATTTCCATAGCTGATGTGGAGAATGATGGCAACGATTATTATAACTGAGACCATCGACGCGTGTGTGAAGATCTCCGAGCTGAACCTGGATCGTTCGATCAACGTTTGTACTGCTCCAAACTAATATTGGCTATTAGCGACGGCTAAAGGCCAGGTGATAGATAGGGTTTCAATTGATACAATCTGCTTATGGGCTGATTTGTAATTGGGCTTTGGGCCTGACAAAATGAGCATCTACACAATTTGATAATCGAAATTTTTTTTATTTTGTGATTTATGCCGATTACAGTCTATAATGTTCAATCCTCATAATTTACTTTTCTTTATAGTAAACTGATATTCCAAAGTTAATCTTTGAAATTCAATCGTTGTTTGGAGTAACCACAACTATCATTGCTAACACCAAAATAACTTTAAGCACATGAAAAGCACGACTATAATTATGTTGTCTCAATGAGAATCGAATATGATCTTAATTTTCCTTAGCAAACGTCGTTAAGTGTGTTAATAGGAAGTCGAATTTTCTACCTCTAGACTGTAAATTAGAACAATGAACTCTTTTAAAATGAAGGTGTTGAGATTTTAAAATAAAGGTCGATTTCTAATCCAAGTTTACAGAAAATTAAGAATGATATCTGAAGATACTAAGTGGTTTTCAATTCTCACCAAATGAATTGAGTTATCGTTAAGGCATCGGCTAATTAAAAGTTTAGGTAAGCATGATGAAAATCATACTTAGCATTTTTAGAAAACAAAGTAAAAAGAAAAATAAAAGAAAGCAACTTTAATAAAAACTCGAGAATTTTATAAAAACTAAAGAAAAAGAAGTATATTCAAGCAATACCTCATGGGGTATTTATAGTCTCGGGTGTGTTCAGATCCAATTCGATTTAAAAAATAACCGAAAATCGATCTAAAAATTGATAATTGAAAAAAATCGAAACGATTTAGTGTGTTTGGTTTTTTTTTTAAATCGATCGGTTCGATTTCGGTTTGGAAATCCGGAACCAATCCAAAACAAACCGAACCTATGAAATGAAATATTAAATTTACAAGCTTGAAACAAACCCAGTCAATAGCTCAGTGGTAGAGTATTTGACTGTAGATCAAGAGGTCACCGATTTGAACGTGGTTGGGCCCTAGTTTTTAATTTTTTTTTTCTTTTGCTTTCTTGATAATACAAACTCTCCATGGGAATTAACAAGGGTATGTTTAGTCGAAAGCAAGTTGAGCCATTGGGAAAGAACTCATTTACCAGGAACTCTGCTGCTCCATTACCAAATCCCTAGCCACCATGGAACTCACATGGTGCTGGCCATTATTACCAATATAAGTTTCATAAGCTTGTATTTGTTAAAATATATATTTTCTTTGCTTTTGTTATATATATGCTATTTTTTATGAAAAAAATTCAAAAATTATTTTGAAAAAATAGAATCCAAAAACTGCATAAATCCAAAACCGAATCAAACCACACTTAATTGGATTGGATCGGATCGGAATATTTTAGAAACATCCAAACCGATCCAAACCACAAACATTTATACTTTCGGATCGGATGAATTTTTAGCCAAAAACCGATCCAAACCGACTGCGAACACCCCTATTCTCGTGATTCTTAAAAATAACATGAGAATTTAAAACAAAATATCCTAAAGATAAATCTTAAAAATAATCTCAAAACATTTTTTCAAATTTAAACTTAAACTTAAATTCTTAAAAGATTTCATCCACCGTCTTTCTAAATAATCCTGACTAGACTACTTGTAGAAACTATTGTCGCTAACTGAACCTTCTAAAAACTGTCACGTCAGACCATCATGTCATATATCATGCCCATGTCTACAGCCACAATCAAATAATAATAAAATTTAAAATGCACCTTTTTTCCTGCTGGTTCTGGAAAATAGATTCATACACATAAATAAATAAATAAGTAAATAAATGAAACAAAACCAAATCAACAATAATAAAGTGATAACATGAAAGAATTAACAATTAAATATATTTAATTTAGAATACTCGTCATTTAGTCTCATGAAGCCTAATTAAGAACATGAACTAAAATATGAAACCAAAACACCGATATTATTTCTCTGAAATTCTTTACTTCCACCAAAGTTCCGTAAGCATGAACTAAAATAATACATATTTTTAACACAAAATGGATTATCTAGACCCATTTTTTTATTATCTTAAACTAAATCGTACCTAAGCCTCAAGGGGATCCAATTTTTCTTTGCAATTAATCTTTCACTAATGTTCTAATTCAAACACACAAAAATCGATAAGAAAGTACTATAATTAATAATTTCTTTTAGAAGACCTAGATTTAAACTTACGCACCCGTGTAGACTATGTTGTTTGGATTTAGGCCACCAAGGGTAAACAAAATTCCCTTAACCATGAGGACCACTCCAAAAAGTTCTTAATAGGTTTAGACAACAACAACAACAAAACCCTATTCCCATATGTAATGGGGTAAGGGGAGGTGGGGTGGTAGGCTGCCCCCAACGCCAGATTGAGAGCAGCTTCCGTGGAAGACCTCTGGCAGTAAGAAAATTAAAAATAAAGATAAAATATAATGCATAGATAAATAAGTCAATAAATACATAGTTGAAATAGTTGAACAATTTTCATACGCTGTCTTCATATGCGCGTCTGTAATTTGAAGTAATCCCTGCAAATAAATCCCTGCTTGAAAATCTCTGCTTATAGACAGAAACGTAAGTCCCGACTAAATTTAAAGGAGGAAACATGAAGAGAAGGATAAACAGAAGTCAACGATAGCAAGTTGCGATAAGGAATAAAGTTAAAATGGTTAAAACCTAAACTAAGGTAACACTACTTCGCCACCCTAATTCTAAGCCTACATAAATTCCAATGACAGAAACATATAAAAAGTAGAATTCATGGAAATTACTACAAAGGCATTAAAAAAGAAGACTGAGATGCCCACACTACTCAGCTACCCTGGTCTTAAGTCTCCATACTTTCCTATCGGAGGTCATGTCCTCGGTAAGGGCTAAATCCTTCAAATCAGATCTCAAGCATTCTACCCACTTCCTCCTTGGTCGTCCTCTCCTTCTGGCACCGTAGACTGTTATCGACTCTACCCTCCTGACCGCATCCGACGGTTGTCGCCTAAGAACATGCCCAAACCATCGTAGTCTTCTCTCCCTTAATTTTTCGGATAGAGGCACCACCCCCAAAGACATCCTAATTGCAGAGTTTGGTGTCATGTCCCACAGAGTCCTACCACATGCCCATCGAAGCATTCTCATTTCTGCGACCTCCATCCTCCTTAAGTGATCCTTCTTGATTGCCCAACATTATGATCCATACAGCAGCGTTGGTCTTATTGCCATTCTATAAAATTTTCCCTTAAGTTTTAGAGGCATCTTCTTGTCACATAAAACTCCAATTGCAGCCTTCCACTTTAACCATCCCGCCTTTATACGGTGTGTAACGTCATCATCTACACCCCCATCTTTATGTATCATAGACCCTAGATACTTGAAACAATCCATTGAGGGGAGAACGTGTCCTTCGATGCATACTTCTACATCTTCATCGTTTTGGTTCCCACTGAAGTTTGAACATAAATACTCTGTCTTTTCAATATTGATCCTTAGACCTTTTTCTTCCAAGGCAGTCTTCCAGGTAGCCAGTCTACCATTCAGCTCAGTTTTTGTTTCAGCAACTAGGACAATGTCGTCAGCGAAAAGCATACACCATGGAACACCGTCTGGAGTCGCACAATAGACGTCGTCCATAATATAGGTTTAGACGTTAAACAAATACATATAAATCTCAAAAAGATGTCCATGATCTATAGCAACAAATAGCTCTCCTGATTAAGAACCCTCAAAATGTTATTTTACTATTCATTAAAATTCTAATTGTTAATTATGTTGAATTTTTTAATATTCTAATTGAAGATTATTTAGTGAATATATTTTTGGGTAAACTACATGAATGGCCATTTAGCTATGGGATTGTTCCAATTTGACCATTGTTCTATTAATTTTGTTAATCAGGTTTCTTAACGGAGAAGTTGATGTAATAGTTAAAAATTGATATAATTATACATTTAGTCATCATTACTTACACAGTCTATCAATGTGATCCTAATTTTAATTTAATTCAATAAATTTAATCTTCTTATTAAAGGATACTCGTTGGTGACATGTAAAATAAATAATATTATGTGAAAAATTAAACATGCTATGGTGAAAATTATGAGAAAAATCTTGTTAAATAAAAAAAGAACAAAATAAAATATATAACAAAAGACCAAAACAAAGAAATACGAATTTTTTTTCAGAAAACACGTGCTCAATGAAACATGCTTTTGAACATATTAAAAACTCGAGGAAAACACGTTGTGTTAGTAATGTCTTCCCCTTCTAACGAAATAAATATTCTTTTCTCTCTATGGACTATCACTTAGGACGTGTAACTAATTATAACACCCAAATTTAGCCTTAATTCTAAAACCATATAATTTGTGGGTTTTCTTCAAAATTTTCTAAATTGGATTAGGGGTTAAATTGAAGTTAATGGAGATATTGGGTGTTTAAATGTGAAATTAGTGACCATTTTGTAAAGTAAGAAAACGTTTAGGACACTTTAGGAAAAACTAGGAAATATAGAGACTAACTCTATGATTTATCCAAATTATTTTATACTTCAAAACACTTTCTCTATATCAGCTAACCTAGCCTCTCATTTCTCTTTTTCTTTCCCCTTTCATAGTTTCTCACCTCTTCTCCTCTCCCCTCGTCGGCCTGCCGTCAAGCTCGTCGAACCAAGGCCACTGAAGTTAGCCAACTATCACACATTGCATCCCTTTCCACTTTGTGCAGTTTTGTAGTCATCTTTAGCCTGATTTTGGTAAGAAATCGACAAACTCGAGTTGCATTACTGTCGCACATGACAGCCCTTGGCCGTTCGCGAATGGGCTTCATGTGAGGGTGACCGAATCAACTTGGTTTAGTGCCAAGAATCCTCATCTTTGGTTTTGGCTACTTCCCTTCGGTCATCGTAAGCCACGACATGGTTGTGGCACTTGTCGCCGAAAGCCTTGGGTTGTAGTAAAACTGGTTGCTACTATCAGTCTAGTAACTTGCTGCCACAATCCCTATTCGAGACGGAATTTGTTTTATTGGTGTTGTATTAGCGTTACATATTTCGAAAATTGTGTGATTGAGTTTATAATTCAAGAA